AAGAGTAGAGAAGTTAAGAGAAGTAACGATTTCCCAACAATGCGACACAGCCTCTTGCGTGGTTGTGCGCCGTGCATACTTGTACTGCCAGTCACCCGGCGGCCCCGCTCAGTTACGTCATTCATCAGTTTCCGGACATTCCCGCCACCCGCGTCACCGCACTCTACAGCCGTTGTTGTGACGTCACTTTGGGATCGCCGGCACCGGCAACGTTCATAGCTCTATGTACCCCGTGGTGTGTCATTCGTTGGAGGGTTTTTTTTTCTTGGGGGCTGGTTTGCTTTGTTCTTCTTTTTTTACACGGACAGTTAAGAGAGACAGAGACCGACAGACATACAGACAGATAGACAGACAGAGAAGGGGGGACCCGAAAGAGAGAGAGAGAGAGAGAGAGAGAGAGAGAGAGAGAGAGAGAGAGAGAGAGAGAGAGAGAGAGAGAGAGAGAGAGAGAGAGAGAGATTAGAGGTGTTACTCGAAAGCAACATAGGAAGAAAAGAAAGGGAAGAGATAAGGACGATTAGGAAAGAAGGAGCTAACCACTTCAGAGTGTGTCAGGGTATTGTGAAGACGTTGTGCATTTGTTCGTTTAAAAAAAGTTTTCGGGGGAGTTTTAAGACACTTGCTTCTCAATAAGACCGTAAACGTGTGTTTCTTGTTGATCAGAGACGATGAGTCCCGTCTTTCTATTGAGATGTTGTATCCCTCACACACTTGGTTGGTCCTGAGAGACAGGGTCGAATCTTGCCTCCTGAATGGTCTAAATCATATCGACGAGGGTGTAAAATCACATCTGTATGAACAAACAAACAATCAAACCAATACTATTCATCTCTTTCTTCTGAACGTTCATCTTCCCGATGTTGATCAGGGGCGGTGATCCCCGTCTTTCTGCTAGGATGGTTCTGAACGTTAGGGTCGAAGCCCACCTCCTAAATGACCTAAATCATATCAATGAGAGTGTAAAATCACGTCAATAAAAATTGACCCCCCCCCCCCAACCTTTGAACGTTCATCTTCCCGATGTTGATCAGGGGATGAGGATGAGGATGATGATTATTACAATAAAATGAACCCCTCATCGTATTACTCTAATCATTGTTGCTCTGAACTGAGGACGCGTTCTCGCCCAAGTCGTCTAGTCTTTCTGCTAGGATGTTGTATCCCTCTCAGCGCGGGTTGGTTCTGAACGATAGGGTCGAACGAAGCCCACCTCCTAAAATTGTATCGGTGAGGTGTAAAAACGCCTGCATTAAAATAACAAACAGCTGAACAAACAGCTGAACAAACTAACCAATACTCTTCTTCTTTTTTCCTCAGAACGTTCATCTTCCCGATGTTGATCAGGGGCGGTAAGCCCACACCTATGGTACCTTTTGTCATGGCCATCTTCTTCTGCATGCTCAACGGCTACCTCCAGAGCACGCATCTGCTTAAGTTCGCCGACCTGGGCCAGTCGCCGCTGTCCTACCTCAGGGTCGCTGCTGGTGAGTCAAGTCATGACAGAGGCACATTCACAGACACACACTTATGTTTACGCACTTATGTACTCACATACACACACCTTATATATTCATTTTTGTATATAGTATATA